TCAGATACTCACAACTCTATGCTTGAGACTTCCTTGGAAAACATAGTGATGTTCATAGCAACTCCATCTTCTAACTTGATGTGAAATCCGGTGCTAATGTCAATCTCGCCGTCGACACTTAGAATCAGGTCGACAGAAAATATGACGCCAATTTCCAGACTGTCGCCGACTGCAAAGCCAATCGCAGTCTGTGAAGTATACAAATTCAGCGTGTACGTAGATCCGACCGAGAGAACCGTGTCAATGAGCATGTACAGCTCCATGCCGTCGAACTGGAGCTGTAGCTGGCACTCGGGGATCTCGGGCAGGTCGAAGTCGAAGTCAAGGTCGATTGGAGGCAGCTTAAAGTCGTCAATGTCGATACCATCGCTGACGTTTGAGGCCACGCTTCTGATGCGACCCTCGATGTAGTCGACCGCCGCGGCTCCGAACTCTTGGATCTCGGTTCTGACTTCTTCTGTGAAGTTGTCAAAGGCTTGGCTTGAATTGAAGTCTCCGGCCACGGTGAATCTCGCAATGGCGGTTCCTTTTATGTAGCAGGTCGTGCAGGTGATTTCCACTCCGGCGGAGACAGAGGCGTTGCCAGTTTTGGTGTCCACGTCGGCTTCCCTGTGCGACAGTTGTCGCAAGTCAGCAACTGTAATCAGGGGAGATCAAGAAAGTTGACATACTCGCTGTAAGTGAACAAAACCGTATCATCCCAGCTTTTATCCAATGACGTGCTGTTCTCCTGTGTGGTGCTCCGCTCCTCTAAAGTCAACCCAGCCAGGGCCCGCCGGAAGAGACGCACTGTCTCTGCGACTGATATTCCTGGGGCATTGCGAGTTCGAAGAAAGTTTGAGGAAGGTGAAGGTGTAGAATTTCCAAGAACAGGGGCAATACAGAGGGCTAGAAGCAGACACCACAGGTGGTAGAACAACGACGGCATGTTTGAATGGCTATTCATGACTATGTGCTCAACAAACAGCTGTCTGTAGTTTGGCGGGGAACCCGTGTTCGTCGACGGCCCAGCCTGCGATATTTAAAACGACGGGAAAAGCTCCATCACAGACAGACCCAACATGGACCCCGGCCTCGACAACGGGCTGAAGAATCCTCCTGACCTGCGCTGCAACCTGTTGGTTTGAGCGTCTGCGTGTTGGTTGTGATTTCTGCAGGTGAGATCCCAAGCGAGTTAGCACGGGGGCATGGGGTACGCAGCCCCGTGCGAGGTCTGCTGTTGAGACAGCTGTCAGTTAACAGAGTACCACAGTGACAGGAGTTCTCCATAACCTCCTAATCTGTTCGGGAATACATTAGACTCTCTCGCGTGCTAACTTATGTCCAAAAAGTAGGAAGACATGTCGGTCGTCTAGCAAGCTCGTCCTCACGTCCCATGGGTTCATCCAACCAAATGCTTATTTCGGAAATGGGAGCAGCCGCAGTGGGTCTACCGATCCCAACGCATGCGCTAGTCATTAAAGGCGTGATAAGGGGTCCTAGAGAACGTTTGCCGTGGGGTTGTTTTCTCTCCTGTTGCTCGGGCGGTGGCTGAGGCACAGCCTGGTTTTGGACCCTTGCCCTGACACGGGTCGGTTTCAACCACCACACGGTCTTAAGACGTTGGCCCTGCATGCGACCCAACAGTACCATTTCCCATCACTGTTGGGTCTATTTCAGCAACTACAGTCTATCCCAAATGTGGCGTGCCGCATGGCCAAGACACTTCGATGGGAGGCGCACGACGAGGCATGCCGGAAACTTTTGGTAAAACTCTGGTAGCTCGAGGCCACATCAATCTTGAATTTGAACTGACTATCTCAATACGGCTTTTTCCCCTACATATGCCACTTCCAGTACCGCGCAATGCTCAAAATAGGCAAGGGTAGCTCTCAAGATGGCTTCGACAGCTGAAAACATGTAGTAAAAAACAGCAAAGCCCCCCCTGCAGCAGTGAACATGGTGACAAATTCTCAGCCGAATATGTCGCTAAGCACGAGGCTTGTTGTTGGGGCGTCTGCATCCACGTCCATTCGAGGGTCCAGAAGCCGCAGGCTCGCAGGACGCCTTGGGGACAGCTGTCGTGGACCCGGACGCTTCAGTCAAAGGTTTCCCGGACGTTTTGTTGTGTCTTTTGCGTCCGTTTCCATTCGCGGGTCCAGAAGCCGCAGGCTCGCAGGACGCCTTGGTGACAGCTATCACTGTCCCAGAAGCCTCAAGCGCAGACTTCGCGGGCGTCTTGTTTTGTCTTCTGCCGCGTCCATTCTTGATCCCAGAAGCCACAGGCTCGGGTGACGCCTTGGGAACAGTGGTCGCAGACCCAGACGCCTCAGTCACAGGTTTCGCAGACTTCTTGTTTTGTCGTCCGCGTCCGCGTCCGCGTCCATTCGCAGGCCCAGAAGCTGCAGACCCGGACGCCTGGAGGGCACTTTTCGTAGACCCAGGTGCCTTCGGAACAGGGTTCAGGAGCGTGTTGGTTGCTGGATTAAAGGTCCCGGAGATCAAGACCACTCCCTGAGGTAGGGCAGGATGGTTGATGTCGGAGAACTATGTTCGGAGAGTTAGAGACAGGGGAAGGAGGCGGTGAAAGAAGCCTCACGTGTGTCAACCGCTCGGGAGTCATGTTGGGCAGTACAAAGCTACCGGGAGCATCCCCTGGATTCGGTCAGTGACAAGATAGTAGAGAGCAAAGGTATAGGCTTACCAGGATGGCTCAGGAACCAACATCGGGCCGCCTTATGCGTGTGACTTCCACAGTGAGGGCATGTGCGACGCGAGCGAGGTTGGAGATCAAGCACGACAGCCGGTGTTGGTACAACTGGTGGTGTAAAGACAGGAGCGGGACCTTGTAATTCGCGAAGTTCTCTCAGCGCAGCCGAATGGAACTGGTCGACGTGAAGGTGGCCTTGGACCATTTCCCAAACATGATCCCCTGAGGCATCAAGAATTTTCAGCAAGGCATCGATTTGGTCCATGTAGGTGTTTGCCATTTCATCAAGCGTCTCCGATGTCATCATTGTCATCCCGTCGTGGAAGGTAGGGGCAGTGCCGGGAGCGGAAGCACCCGCAGGAGCATGAAGAAAGTCCAAGCTGTGGAGATTGAAGGAGATGGAGCGGCCAGGTGTCACCGTGGCAGAACCCGCCTTGGACCCATCGGAGGACGACATCTTTCCTGAACGTATCAGCGCGTCTGTATCGGGATAGCAAAGGAGCAGCGAGTTGGTGCCGACCTCGAGCGGGTGGTAGACTAAAAGACAGGCTAAGACAGCGAAAGAGCGATAGCACTTCATGAAATCGGAGATCGAAGAGCGGAAAGAGCGATACACGAGATGCAGCGGTAGCTTTGAGCACCCTCCACGTAGAAGGGTGCGGGTGGAAGAGCGAGAGAGGCTGCAGGCGTGCAAATTCGAGATGTGGTCGGATGCCGCAGCGTAGTTGTGTGAGGGTGAAGTTGTGAGAAGGTGGGGAGGGGAAACGGGAAACGGGAAACGGAGAGAGAGCAAAGGGAAAGAGGTCAGCTGCGAGAAACCTGCAGGAAATCACCAGCTGCCTCGCAGTCCTTGGTAACGGGACTATCTGCAGCAGGTGGCTGTTTTTTGTTTGTTCTTCAATATTGAGCGAATCGCGTGGGGCGTGAAAATATAACACGGCGTTTGGTGTGGCTGCGTTGGGGAGCTCCGGGGCCAACGAAGGAGCTCAGGTGATGAAGTCACGAATCTGTCACAAATATTCCGAGATAACCTGTTTCAATACCTTAGATAGTATTCTAACCATATATCCAGTTTTAAGAGACTTTTCAGCCTGGCAAGTAAGTTTGTTCTTGTCTTTCCATCAAGCTTGGGGAGAAGGGAAGCGTTCCAAACACCATCGCCGCACGGTGGCCCTGCCTGCAGTCGCTCTGCAATAACCACCAATCAGAAATATTTGAAAGGAGAGTTCCAACTCCGCAAAGGCTGGCGGCGTCAAGATGATGATGGCTCCAGGCACTGGAAGGAACCCCAAAGACACACGGGTGACATGTCTCTTAGTGTGCTGATGCTTCACGAAGTTCACGTGCACATATGCTATAAATGATCGTGGCAGATACATGCGAGCCATTGTCAGTCACGGCTTGAGTCTTTGATTCGCAGTTGGTCAGTATCTTCAACGCCATGCATCACATCACTATCCAGACTCAATGCGAGTCTGGGGACTCTCGTCAGCAAAAATCAACCCAGCCCTGTCTTTGTCCAGGAGGGACAGTTGCGGCGCAGGCTTCGGTCTCAATCCTTATTCCTCGCACATTGCTCTAATACGTATTCCAATCTCCCAAAAATATAGTCGTCAACGCTCCTGGACCAGTACGCCAAAGACGCAAAAATGATGAGACTGGGATTCGAACCCAGGCCCCTTTCGAGACTGCGAGATCGTTTGAGTTGAAGATTCAACCTGAACACAGCGCCTTAGACCGCTCGGCCATCTCACCTTATTGGATGTGTTCCGGCCGCGTGATTCCATCTCATGCAGTCTGTCACTGGCCCTGGACCAGTTGACCGACAGGAGCAAACGCGGGTGTCTGTTTTTGCCGGAAAGAAAAGCATCGAAAACCAGTCGGAACAGCAAAGTTGACATTTCCAAGCACTATCGGGCCGATTTCTTTTAAGATGCATACTTCATTTTCTTTGTTCGTGCTATGTAGTCGAGGAGAATTTTAGTACATCTCAATTCTTAAACACTCCTCTAAACAGTTCACCGTGTAAAGTGCCCCTTTGTCCCAGTCTGTTTTTCGCACTATCTGGACAAGTTATCCCAGTTTTCATTCACCCTCAAGTTCCTTCACAGACGCGGCATCTTATCTTCGTGGCGCATGGCGGTCCATAACAAATCAGAAGCGCCGGCGTTAACAAGTCCAAGAGTCCCACTGTCGCAGCTCCTTGTGCTCAGGAGGGACGGAGGTGGGAGGCGGGTAACTTTTTCGACGTCATGGGGCTCTGTGTGGGTTCTTGTACACTAAATCCCTGTCACAAACTCATCAAATAACTGGCTTTCTGGCCGAGCGGTCTAAGGCGCTGTGTTCAGGTTGAATCTTCAACTCATTACAAATTCGCAGTCTCGTAAGAGGCTTGGGTTCGAATCCCAAGGAAGTCATCAAACATTTATTTTTGCCTCATGATCACACATTTCTTTCTCATGATCAATTTTTTTCGGTTTGTGTGCCGACGCAATTCCATGCAACTGGTTTCCCTGTGCACGTGAGAGAACTGGTGGTCCGAGCGCATTGTTGCTCAGTCGCATTAGCAGCATAACGACAACTAAGTGAGTGGCACTGTTTGCCTTGGGAGGGAGCAAATCTACGATGCCTCGTGAATGAGAAGCCGTATGTTCGTCTGAGCCACCCATAACTGGCTAAATTCTGTGGGTAGGACAGAAGATTTGGGATTTTGCTTTTCTTTTACAGCTTCGTCATTCGGTGTCAGTATTCCGGGGGTTTTTATGTGGATTTCTCCCCTGCCATGGAGCTTGAAGTAAGCATAATGAAAATGAGATTAAAACTCAATCTTATCTTATATCAGGTGAAAGTATAACTCTCAATGCTCTCGAACTACAAACTGTTCTGCAAGTATGAATATGGAATCCCAACCACCATCGTAAACAGTCCATGGTCTAGGGTAGTTGCTCGAGATCGAGAGTTGCGATGAGCTTGCAAGCCAGCCTCTGTGACAGACAATATGCCAGCCCGAATTCAACCAATCAGATGGTACTTTGGCCGAGCGGTCTAAGGCGCTGTGTTCAGGTAGCTGGGTTCTCCCACATTGCCGTTTCGCAGTCTAGTAATAGGCGAGGGTTCGAATCCCTCAGGTATCAGTTCTTTTTAAAATACGTGTTTACGGATCATCTTTTTTGCACTCTTGAATCCTATCACATCAAGGCCAACATAAATCGCATCCAGTATGTCAGTTTCGAACATTGCTGTGTTGTCACTTCCGTTTGTGCCAGAATTTGACGATGTGGAGTTCTGGTTGTGGATGCTGGCGTGGAGTCCTCCGGCCAAATGTCTTCCACCCCCGAACTCACGCTTGCTAGGGTATCTCCGCTAGTCTGAAATATCAGTCTTGCCTTGACAATTCTCACTTTGCACACCAGTAGAAGTTATCAGTCTGGCGTTGGTATTCATCAATGCTTAGCGCTTACGGATTTAATGGAGAACTAGATCGAGCAAGCTGTGATATTGTTATTGAACTTGATGATTTCCAAGACTGGGGTTTTCAATGTGCTAGAGTAATTGTCGTAAGCTGTGAAATGACACAGTTGTTTAAATTATCACGTAGGGACTGAAATCAATAAGCTATCATATCTTAATCTTTGTTTCACTGGAAGTGTTTGAGAAGCTGTGTAAAGCATCTTACTTCAACTAAGAGAGTGTTTGTGACGTGAGGAGTTTCTAGTTAAGCGTCTTAATAACTGGAGATATGATAGGATATGTGTCTTGGACTTTTACAACGTGGGTTTAGCTGGGGCTCCGAAACTATCCATGCTTACTGGAGACTCAACACTTGTAGCGTCGTTGACGTCGTTGAACACCGCTCCCATCATATTGGAACGAATGATGCCAGCAAAAGAGCGAGCCCGCCAAGTTACAAGGGCTAGCCGTCTTCTGTTCCTGAAACAAAAACCAGATCACACGTTGGCGCAAGTTCGCGTGTTGCTTGGAGTCGTTGGATCTGATGGGCTCTCCCCCGCGGAATCATGGCTTGCAATTTCGACGAAATTTTCAGCAAATAAGGTGAGATGGCCGAGCGGTCTAAGGCGCTGTGTTCAGGTTGAATCTTCAACTCAAACGATCTCGCAGTCTCGAAAGGGGCCTGGGTTCGAATCCCAGTCTCATCATTTTTGCACACTTGCCACCGTCCTTCAGTGGCAATGTCATTGTTTTTGCATGTATCTGGGCCATTGGACACTCGCATGCGGTATATAAACACAAATCTTGTCTGTAACATGTTGATAGCATCGTTGTTTCTTTTGTATTTGTTGACATATATCTCGCTTTAAACGTTCTCGAGCGGGCCGAAGACACTGAGCATTCTGGAACCCTAATACAACCTCCTTGATCCGTCTCCCTTATTGAGAAAACTCCCTCAAAAATACCATTTGACATGTCAGAAACAAGAAGGCTGTTGATATCACATCGAGCGACCTCCAATGGCGAGGAAGTGAGAGATTTAATGTGCTGGGTGACGTCGAATGCCAGAGCTCAAGACACGTCTTTTCCAGCTTCACAAGAGAGAATTTGGTAATAAATAAATACTCCTCCCCGTTATAGTATTATTAAGTCATTAGGTTAATCAATCTGAGCCCCAACCTCAGCACACGCTGATTTAAGACGAGCCTCGTCCCAGCCATCCCAGCCGCCCACCGTTTCTGGCAGGATATTGCCGGGGCATTGATATCCAGCTTTCTGAATGAGGTCGCTGATACCAGGGCCGTTGCTTAACACTACTACACGCACAAACTTGCTATCAACATCTGCGGTAAAGAACTCCCTTGCTGGAATGAAAGCCATCTGGCCCTGTCGTAACACAGTCCAGTCAGAGTGCCCCTTGATCTTTAGCCTGAACACGCCCTCCATAGCGCAGAAGCAGTGGTCTACTGTGGTGAAGCTCATGTTTCGGTTGAAGAATGGCCGTTCGGGGTAGTTGGCTGACGTCTCCATGGTGGAAATGGAGAATTCCCCCTTGCTTTGTGCTGGTGTGATGAATGGCCGTGACAGTATGCCACCAAACATCCACTGGGGGCCAGTATTTGCGCGCAAGAAGTACGGGTAGTCTCCAGGTAGCTGTTTTTCTGCATCGGCCCAGGAGGATGGTTCGGTGCGTTCATATTGTCCGACATTGACGTCGCGCCGGTCAGGTGGAGGCGTGTGCAGAAGGCTTGAGGAATCTTTCGAAGGGAGCATGATACCCTTGAACTCTTGGCCCATGGCCCGAAAGATCTCGGCCTGACTTCCTGGAGTTGCCAGAGCTAAGAACTCGGTATATGGCCCAAGTGGCTTGTAGCTATACATAACTCCCTAGAGTATGAAAATTAGCTGCTGAACGATCGAAACTGATAAGAGAAACCGAGGTTATCTTACAGCAGGCACACAGGCAAAGTCCCCGGGGTAAAGATCAAGACACTCGTCGCAATTCCAAAACCTGAGATAACCTTTGGTCACTATGAAAGCGTTGACGGCCTCCTGGTGCCAATAAAAGGAGTTGGGAGCATCAGTTGGGACAGCCGCCCGATAGTACACAGCCATCCTGCCCTTGGTCTCCATCGCAGAGGCGAGAATTCGCACAACGCTGTTGGTTCCAGGTATGGCGATACGCTCGCCCTCATTTTGGTCAATCACGTAGCATTTTCTCTCGCCAGGAGGATAAGTGGTTGTTGGGATGACCATCTTTCAGTAAAGGGTGACCCAGAGAACCGGTGGCTGACAACTTGATGAGAAACTGCGTTGACAAGACGCAGGTGGTTGGCTTACACGAGCAGCAAAATGCGCCACGCTCAAGCACCGGTTTCATATGGTCTCGGGTATTTCTTTGGCCAAGGTTGTTACTAGGGTGGAAGATAGAGACATCTGGTCACGAGTGGAGATTTTGACCGCTATTTGCTGAATGGAGGCCGGATCAACGGTTGGTCCGGCCATCCAAACTACCAAGGGGATTCCCAAACTGAGCGTGTAGTTCACGGGGACGTGAAAGTGTGCAAGGGCTGGTTGATGTGGCTGAGAATACTCTGATTCCGGGTATCCGTTACATTAAGTTCTCCTTTCTATGGGTGCGGACATCTCAGTCAGAATCCTTGGCGAGTTCCCAACACTTCCTCATGCCGGTACCCATTGACTCCTTGTCGACATCACCTGGCGAGGCCCATCTCTGTCGAGCCGTAGGCTTGGCTGGAGTTTCGTCCACGCAATCATCACCGGCCTCTAGTGTGAACAGATGGACGTGCATTGTGAGCTTTATGTGAGAAAACAACCACGGCACACTGTCCAGCTCACGGACGTGTTTTAGCACGCCCTCTGTCATCGTGTCCCGGGCTATCAAGTCGGACACAAAAGCCGTTGCCCTTGTTTGTCGCAGTTTTGCGGTGCTGTTGTCATCAGACTCCTGTAGAATCTGGCTCGGGAACTCCCACAGGCCAGCGAGAAGGCCCTTTTCCGGCCGCTTATGGATGAGATAATGCCCATCGCTTCGGCGGATGACGCAGACAAGCGTTTCCTCGATCCTCACGGCCTTTTTGAGGACCTTGAGGGGGAATTTTCGGGCGTGATCTACGATCACCTCGAGATCCTTGGTGCTCAGGCCAGTCTTTGACTTTGCGGGTTCCTTCTCGCCGGTAGGACCCTTGAACATGAACGCCGACAGTTTCATTTGTTTGCCTTGTTTCGTTTCTTTGGGCGCCGGCTTGGTTTTACCCTTGCCATCTTCATCTTCCCCGAGGCCCGTCGTTTCCTCAAGGGGTTCGCAGAGATGGCACAAATCTTCAATGTCGTCCATCTTGGGCTTTCGGGTAGATGAGACCAGTGTCTTCCCCTCTTCATATGCGCGACATGTTGAGCTGATGGGGCATTGGTCACAGTTCGGTTTGGGCGTGCAAACAGTGCTCCCCAGTTCCATGAGCGCCTGGCCCCATCTGCCAGGCCGATTGCTCACATCGTCTTCCGTTGCTTCTTCGGCGGCGTCACGGGCGACGGCTTTGGCGAGTGCGGCAGCGGCAGCCCACAGGGTGTCGATGGCGAGCTTGTCCGTCTTCACATTCCCCATGAGGCCAAGCTGCCTGCTGAGGACGCGCAGGACGTTGCCGTCGACCATGGGCACAGCGCGTCCAAAGACGATGGCCGAGATGGCACCGGCAGTGTATCGACCTACGCCGGGGACCTTTGCCTCGAGGTGTTCCACCCGCGAGGGCAGCAAACCCATCATATCTGGGTCTTGGACGACGAGCTTGGCGGCTTCGTGGATCCTCGTCGCTCTGCTGTAGTAGCCCAGCCCGCGCCAGGCACTCAGCACGTCGTCGGGGCTGGCGGCGGCCAGGTCGTGAATAGTCTGCCACTTGGCCATCCAGTTGTTCCAGTAGTCGATGACGACGGCGACCCGCGTCTGTTGCAGCATGATCTCGCTGATCCAGACCTCGTACGCCCGACGCTCGAGAAGTTTGCGCAGTTGGGCGGCGTTGGTGTGCTCCCGCGGATCAATCCAGGCCTTGCGCCAGGGCATTTTGCGCTTGGTGCTCACGCCGTCGAACCAGGCGAGGAGTGCATCGCGAGAAGCAGCGTCGTCCAGCAAGGCCGGTCGATGGTAGCCAACTCCATGTCGTCGCGTCGGAGGGACACAAGGCTGGTGGACTGTTTTCTCCGCAGGGCCGAAGAGGCGTTGATGAAGTTGAGCGGCAATGTCCTTGCTTTTAGTCCTTGATGGCTGTGGTTTTCGTCGTTTTGGCGTGGGCTCGTCGGTCTCCTCGCGGACAGACGCGTCGCTTTCTGACGCGTTGCTTTCTGACGCGTCGTGGCGAGGTGCAGGGCGACGCTTTGTCACTCTAGCGACGGGTTCTGGACCATCACCATCCACCTTGAATTGTGACGAGATGTTCTTTGATGCTGCGGTTGCACTGGACCGCGTGGCTCGAGACGACAAGGGTGCCATTTTGCTCCTCTCTGAACTGTTCACTGAGCACTGTCAATGAACATCCATCTTGGGGCGAGATTCGTTGTAAGGGAGGCTCACCATAAAAGGAGCGTGTCCCCACACACTTCCGGGAAAGTCTCAGTGATCGTTCTGCACTAGTCGGAAAACATACTCGGCTCCTTGGGAAAAAAGAAACGA